TTGAGTACCGCGAAAAGTGTCCCTTCTGAAAGGAAGAGAACTCGAGTCATCCGACCGGTCCAGCACCGCGGCCGGGCTATCCGCCCGGACAAAGCAGGATCTCCCACCAGCATCAGCGCAGAGGAAGGAGAAGAACAGCAGCAGCAAATCATACCAATAAGGAAGAAGAAAGGTCTTCGTCTCCCTGCATCCATCGCCCATCTGAGGATCCAAACGGCCAGTGCCGATGGACCTCCAACCACCATAGCCCGCGACCTCGACGAGATCCGGGGATCCCCAACACCGCTGGCTCCTAGACGAAGGCAAAAGCCACGCATGACCGCGAACGGAGCTCGGAGAAGCTTATTCCGACGCGACACCACCGCAGCGGTCTCGGCGGTGTCTCCCTCAACCCTAACCCTACCGCACACCCACCTAGAGAACAGACCCAGGGTTCCCCCACCCTCCCACCGCCGGAGCGGCCGACGGAGAGAGAGGGAATGACGGCGTCACCGGCGGCGCGCAAGGGATCCCGGTCGCCTCCTCCGATCGCCTGATGCGATCTTGGCGGAACAGATGCGAACTTTGTCAGGTGGAATGGCGTACTGTTCGGCTGTTGTTGTGTTATGCACTTATGCTCCATCTCACCCACAAGGAGCTAGCCCAGTGGCCAGCATCAACCAGCCGATCCCTATCCACACTCTCGATCCTTTGACACCGTCGCGAAGGAGGAGCTCCGCGCTGCGTGTGCCGTCGGAGACGACACTGACGCTGAGGTGGAGGTGGGGGCTGGGGGTCAAGAGCGCGCTAGGTGTCCCTACTAGCGGGTGTTCGTCCATGCCTCGAGTGCATGAACTCTGGCCTGCTGGCCGTTGTCGGCACCGGCTGCCACGCCCCCGCACAATGTGACATTGATTTTTTTTTTTGAGGGAGACATTGATCCCTTCCGTGTGTGGTTGTATACACTGATTTGTTCCAATGGTATGTGTAAAAAAAAAACTGCCGCCTTTTTTGTCAAGCTCCGCCACTTCTCGTCGGTACCTCGGAATGCATGAAAGACAATGCATAGATTTTACTGTGAACGAGCCCGGTGTAGTAAGGTTTCAGCGAAACACATCCCATCTTATGTCAGGTTAATCG